AGGAAAACGTCCAGGCCAGCTGTGTTTTAGCCAGACTTGGCTTTACTCAGTGTTTTCTTGGTGACACTTCATCTGTTCTTAAAAACAAGATATGTAACATTTAGAAGAATATATTATGCTGATATTTAAAGTTGTAACAAATACTGAAATACAAAAACCGTGGTGTGAAAATTAAGAGAATGAAAATGAGCTACAGAAAATAATTCAATGTTTACAAAGGCAACGGTTATGAAACATGCTCACCGAAAATAAAATGCTCCGTTTCTGTATAAAATATAAACTCCTAAAACGTGTAGACCTGTACAAAAAGCAGAATTATCTTTAGACCTAAATAGGAAGCATGAAATAAATGTGTTTAAATTTTTAAAAAAAGAAAGGAAAAGCAGCCTTTTTGTATAAATAAGCAGATTCATTTATTTGTCGTTCGACTGTCACTCGATGTATAAATATAAAGTTTAACATTTTCCACAACAAACACACATACAGACAGAAACATTAAATACATAATTAATACTTCCAGTTGGAACAAATCAGCTCTTATTTACAGAATATATACAGAAACAGAAAAGTGGTCCTCCGCTGCAGTGAATGGAAGCGACAAATTAAAACGGTTTCATTGGATTTGGATGAGAAGCAGGTCTGACTTTAGTCCTACAATACTCCTGTGGTACTGCGTGAATCTAAATCTGCGGGATTGGTGGTTGCTTTTATGGGGTTTTATTGCGGATCTTTGTAATTTGTCTGGTGTGTCTTTCAGGATTTCCACGATGGGGGTTTGTCCGGAGGGAAGTGAACAGCCGGGGCCCGTGGGACTTCAGATGGACGAAAGTGGAGGAATGTAAGTGGATGGTTTTTGGCCTCCGTCCTTCATTAGATACACAGACAGGACGAGGGATCCGTCTGACGTGTGGCTCAGCTGAGCCTTCAAATCATTTGCATAACTTAGAACAAAATGAAAATGCAGCAAGAACTGAACTGATTTCTACTTATCAGTAAACGTGTTCTTTAAAAAGGTGATTGCAAGCCTACATTTCCCAGCATTCATGGGGTTTGACCTAAAAACCTACTGCACGTATTTTAACAACCAAACAGGGACTCTGCAGGTCAAACTATGGAAGATGCTTCCTACCAGCAAAACGAATTGTGTACTGGCGGTTAGCATGAAAATAATTTGACATAAATAGAGTTTCATTCTCATATGTTCTACCCAAATCTTTTAATGTCACCCAAGAAATGACTATTTAATAATTGTGACTTCCTCTTTTGTACTTATTTACAATGTAGCTGGAATTATTATTTGACACCAATACGCTGAGTGTGAATTTCCTTATTTTATAGCTACTGACTTAAGACTAAATTCAGATTTAAGAGAAAACACTGTGTTCATCGGAGGCCCTGGTACCGGCCTATTTCTCGGGCTTTGGACCACATCTCTCAGTCCTCATCAGCGCATGGAGTTTGTTCAGTGGTTGTACAATGTAGAAAATCAGATATAAAATATCATCTATCGATGAGGACTGAGGCGTGACTGAAAAGGTCAGTAGGAAGGGACCACACATGGGCCTGAGGTGTTTCAGGTTCTTTCAGAAACTTGCAGAATCATGAACGAACTTTCACTTTCAGTGATTTTTGTCTGGCAGGAATGAGCTTCCATATCTCGGCTAAAGGAAAAACAAACTTGGTTCTAAAGTAAAAACAAAGAGGTTGTGAAGACTCAGTTCCGCCTAAATAAATAACTTTCACCGTGTGTGGCTCTGTGTTTACAACTGGACGGTGTGGCAGGATGTTCAGGTGTGAGGTTCTATAGGACTTGGTAGATCAGGTTGGGGTCCTGGCTGGCATTTGGGGAGGGGGCCTGGGTGGGCCCTGGGGCTGCCACCACCCCAGCCGGGTCAGTTGGCGGGGACCGTGGGGGGCGGAAGCAGGCTGCTGTTGTCGGTGGAGATTCGCTCCACGATGCTGGACAGACAGTCGAGGCTGGAGACCACCGAGCTCCGCTCAGTCTTTGGACCACCTGCAGAGAGTGGACCAGTAAGGTCTGTTATTATTCTGTTATTTTAGTCTTTAGTGTGTGTGTGTGTGTGTGAGAGAGAGAGAGAGAGGACAAAGTGTGACAAAACTGTCCTAATGTGAAAAAAATCAAGTCAAAGAACATGGCCCAGAGTAACTGTAGTGAAACTGTAGATTTTTACCTCTTGATACAAAACAAACCTGCTGTTTTTAATTCTGCCACAGGCAAAGACAATAGTAAAGATATCTATTTTAAACTAATTGTATGCTTTATTTTTAAACAAAGGGTCCGAGTTCGTCATATTTGTTTTACACTACCTCGCAACTTAATGTATTAATTACATGTTAAAAATAAAACTAGCAGCCTTTTATAAAAGAGCAACTTCTCTTTCTGAAAGTCCGAAGTCCGTTGCTTTTCTATTACTTATTTGTTATTAAAGCTGAATAACGTGGCTTAATATTTCAGTGAGTGTTATAAATCAGCTGTTTTCACCAAAGTGCTTTCTCACCGTTTGGAGTTTCGGAGAAATAAGAGCTGCTGTCGTAGCTTCCTCTCCGGGTGGACTGACACGTCGGGCCGTTAAAATCTGTCTGCAGAAAGAAAAGCACGTTGCACTTAGAAGGACATGTCGACACAGAGCAGTAACAAATGTGCTTTAGGTCACAGAAACACTGACGAAAAACACCCGCAGCTTATGTTGTAAGATTAGAGGGAAAATGTGACAACGAACTGAAAATAAAAAATAAAATGGTGAATGTCGTGCGCAAGAATCATTTCAGAAAAATGGAAACAATAATTGATAATTGTCTTGTTTTCAAAATGTTTAGATCAATTTTCCTGAATGTTTTAGATAAACTGTTCTCCAATCGAGAAACGAAAACTACTTTCATACTAGTTTTTAAACGAACTTGGAGTTGTGCGCAAAATTATAAAGGGAATTTGTTTCATTATTTAAATACGGATCTCAACAATTCATTACACTTTATCCGATTCTTTTTACCACATTGAACACGTTGCCTTTAACTTTAGGCCTCCAGTGCGACCTCATCCTTTGAAACTGTTCCAACAGAGCTTTCTTTAAACACTGAGGGATAAAGCTAAACCTTGAATTAGTGCAAATTATGGCCAGACCTTTGTGAGTAGGATTAAAAGGAAAATGTGATGAAGAACACGATAATTCGCTTAAACGAAATTAGCTTTTATACCTTTCTGACATAAACTTTCAAAGGTTTATGTGCAGAAGTTGCATTTTGCTCTTGTGCGTAAATGTGTAGCTGAGTCCACGCACAGGAGAAAACGATAAAGTTCTTGGTTAAAATGAACTTTGGAAACTGACGAAACCGAAATGTACAGCGCAGTCAGAGATCGGTCCACTCTACAGCAACTAATGCAACAGAAAGTCCAAAGAAATATAACTAATTAAAGAAACTAAAAGTGGGGGAAGTTGGTCGTGCGTAAAAGCGCACAAGAGAAACTGGACACGTTCCCACCCGCCACCAGCGCGCACAGAAGCACCCCTCTCCGCTGACTCCGCCTGCCACCGTCTTTCACACCTGTCAGTTCCTAAACTCACCATGCCGTCGGAGCAGTTGGAGCGGGGGCTGGAGGCGTCTGAGTCCCCGCTGTAGTGCTCCAGTACCGGGTAGAAGCCGTCGTCCTGTCCTCCCCGTAGCAGCGCCTGCAGGGACTCGATGTAGCTGATGGCATTGCGCAGGATCTCCACTTTGGGCAGCCGCTGGTTGGGGTTGGCCGTGGTGCAGCGCTTCAGGGTCTCGAAGGCGTCATTGACCTTGCTGAGCCGCCGGCGCTCACGCAGCGTGGCCGCCTTCCGCCGGTCCGCGTTGGTGGTCTTCCGCTTGCAGGCCTTGCAGGACCAGAGCAAGCAGCGGCCCGCCTGGTGGTGCCCGCTGGGGGCGCGGACGTGCTCGTCGTCCTCCACCTCTGCGTGGTGGTGAAGGTGCAAGAGGGAGGACGGGGAGGAGGACGTGGAGGAGGAGGGGGAGGAGGCGGTTGAAGAGGAGGAGTCGTCTGGCTTCAGCAGGCCCACATGGACGAGTCTCGGGTCCAGGTCTTCGAAGAAGTGCATGTCGCTGGTGTTGAAGCAGGGGTCGTCATAGAAATCATCAGCTGCGGGGATGGGGAAAGAAATATCCGACAACTCCATGCTCAATCCCAAACACACCACAGGAGAAGCCAAATCCAGAGCAAATACAACTTTCAATGTTTTTATCAGGAAAGGAGAAACGGGAGGAAAGGAGCTGGATGTGGAGCAGGGGTCGGAGCTTTCCAGGGAATGTGGACTCCTGTCACTCACTGCTCTGTGTCCGCAGCTGTTGACAGGCAACACCTTATACCTGGGACAACTACGGGGGGCGGGTCAGAGCGATGACGCCCACAGAGGCCCGACCAATCACTTGGCGGCAGGAGGGGTTTCCAGCGTCACAGTAATTAGTGTACACTTACCCCTCAGAGACCAGCAACAACAGGATGATTTACTGCTGCTGCACATGGTGGGGGCGACGTGCACTTTAATGCAGAAGGTAAAGCACGTCAATATTAAAATCAGTATAGATTTGTTTTGGTAATTTCTTCTGTCCATCTTGGTTAATGCAACGTGTTTATAGTTAAACATTATTGTGCTTTTAAAACCGTGTGTAGGCTAAAACACACTGAGTTCATTAGCTCAAATGTGTTGATTTAGCGTAGGACTAGTGAATGAAAAACTAAAAAACAGATCTACAACGGTAAACCTTTAGTTTCATTAACCATCCGCCTGTGTGGGCAAAAATTACTAGTAAACATTTAATCTTACCGCAACAAAATCTCTGATTTTTTTTGTACCTATAAAAGTGAAAGAGAGAAATATAAGAGGATTTTTAAAATTAAAATAAAAACTAACAATGAAAGTTTGAGCCCTGTTAAATTTTTATGGTAGCAGCAAAAGACTGTAAAAGAAATGAGATTAAAATATTAAAGGTTCAAAATAAACTGTGCATCATATTTGGAAATAATTTTAATCAGAGATTATGGTATGCATTTGTTTTCCTTTAAACAGCGATGACCTCTGACCTTTGACCTCAGTATTCACGGCTTTGTATAAAAAGTGAAAAATTGCAACAAAAAATAGTCAAATCAACTGAAACCAAAAATATTAAAATATTGTTCTTATTTCATTTCTTTTCTTTGTTCCTTTTTATTTCAAACTTTATTCCCAACACAGGAAATAAACACAAATACACCTAAAATAAATACACTTTTGTTTGGAAGACAAACGAATGAAGAGATGCGTCACATCCAAACTTGGTGGCATCCAGCTCATGTTTCATCAAACATCGTTTTTAAAGTGTGAACTGAATAATCAAATTAACGCCACCGAGTTTATTTGCAGCCTGTGTCGCTGCCCTGCTCTTTGCCTGCAGCTCCTCACAGCTGCCGCCACTGCTCCACACTGAAACGTTCAAATGCACCTTTCTGATTTGCACAACACATGCAGCCGAGTTTCAGGTGTGTCGTGCTGCTGCAGTACACCGCTACTGCGGCTGGAGGACGCTGCAGAGCAGACACAGACACCGCTGCAGACTCATCCCCACTTTGCCCCCAACACAGTCTTGCAGATGGTTAAATGCTGTGGATGCTTTTAGAGAAAATATTCAAACCCATTGTTCAGAGGATTATCACTCCAAAAATGATCGAAGGGTCTTATAATAAATGCCCTAACCCCAGACAACAACTAAATGCAATTTGGTAAATGGGTTGTTTTTTTGCTGCTGCTAAAGGGTTATTAGCTTTATAAGCTTGTAAACATGAGTCAAACAGGCTTCAACAGGATTTTAAATGATCATAAGTTAAGAAATGTTCAAAGTCTTTGCTCCAGGCAGTGGTGGGAGAAGTACTCAGATCCTTTACTTCATTAAAAGTAGCAATACCACAGAGTAAAATTACTCTGTTCCAAGTAAAAGTCATCCATTCAAAATAAATAAAAGGACAAAATTACTGGCATCCATATATACCCGCAGTACCAGTACTTGTCCTGCAGAACAGCCCATGTCCCAGTAACGTCTCTGATACTGGATCATAGTGACTGATGCGTTACTGTGTTCATCACTTTACAGTTTTTCACAATTGTTAAAACAATAAACCCCATTTTTTGAACCAAATTCTCAATAGCCTAAACCAATTTGTCGAATAAGTCACTCTTTCTGCAAAAACTTAAACAAGTTCAGGCATTTAGACTCTGTTAGCAAATCTCATGTACTCTTTTTGCTAAACTCTAAACACATTCTCACTCACTAAAACAATTCGCACTGTGATGAACCTGTGTTGCAGTATAGATAACAATATGACAGGTAGAGGAATATGAGGTGTTGGACAAAAAGGACGAGGAAGAGTAAGACCTTCCACCATACGGCACTTTCCTCAACCCAACAGATGAGTTTTTCTTTGCATGGCGGTGGAAAGTCTATGACCGAAACCCATATGCCAGGGAAAATCTCTTACAGGCACTGGAACTGGCCTGTGATGAGATAGACGTGCAGTCTTGGCAAGGCTGGATCCGCCACACCCGAGGGTTTTTTGCCCATTGCCTGGCAAGTGTTTTGCGTGTTTTTTACTATATACAATAAACTTTTATTTTTGTAACTACATGTCCTGGATGCGGTGTTCTCCATTATTTGATTTAGTGTCTAATGACTGAGCTGCAGTGTGTATATGACTGACTTATGTGTCTATGATCTGAAAGCATTGTTTGATTTTGAGTGCTGGTAAAATGGTTTTGAAGCAAATGCTTCATTTTGCCAGACGAGTTAGAGGTTTTGTGAATTTAGTTTGAGTATTTGCATTTGTGTTTAAGGTTTTGAGAAAATGAGTGGTGGTTTCAAGAAACATGTTTTAGCAATTCAGAAAAACTGTAATAGGGTAAGGATAATCACCTTTATTGGCCAAGTATGTTACACACAAGGAATTTGTTTCCTGTACAGAACCGATGGCAGCCATCTGCGGCGCCAATTCAACCGATGGCTTTAACCATCGGGGGCAACGGAGGGGTTCAGTGTCTTGCCCAAGGACACTTCAGCACATGGATTGCCAGCACCGAGATTCAAACCTTCAACCTTCTGGTTGGGAGACGGCCGCTCTACCCACCACACCACACCACTGTCACCTCCCCCGATATGCTGCAGCTGGTAAAGGTGGAGCTGATAGTAACTACCTTATATACTTATACTGTGAAGTAACGTCTGGCTCATTTGACCCAGGACGCCGACCCTCTCCTTCAGCCGCCCTCAGCGCCACGCACACGCTGTCACTGCCTGGCTTCTGAAAGTCATGAACAGCATCAGAGTCTTCATTCATTTGGACACTAAACAACAGCAAAGGCCATGAGTGTCCCCCCCCCCCGGTGGTGTGAGACTGAGGCCATCATCTGCAGGTTGACGTTAATGTGTAACACTGAATCCACAGATGAAACATCAGTGAGTGTGCTCACATGAACGAGCATGTCCACGTTAGAATGCTCATCCTGGTTTGGATCATACTCAGGATGTAACACAGAGAAATCAGGTTACCGAGTTCTGCAGGACGTGCACACACCTGTGGATCTCACTGGAAAACCACCTGTATCAACATCATATGCCAACAAAAATCTATGTAATTCTTAACCACATATTGTGATTTATTGTATCATTTGAAACCAACACATCAAGGCACAGATTGGCAGGTTGGCCTTTATATGTTCAAACTAATCTGACTCACTGTGTTGCAGTGCTTGTAACCGAGTCCTTCTCCCTGACATGCGCTGGTCATTTGTCTCTTCACTGTGTAAGAAGCGGTGCCATGTCTTTAGTCTGAGTCAGAACAAGATGGCACACAACAGGACACGTAGAACTTTAACTGAGAGAAAGGAAACGTGAGACAAAACTAATTCAAGCAGTAAAAGAGCGCGAGTGTGACTCCTCAGAGAGCTCTGGAGAGATGGATAACGAGGTGCACCTCACTGCTGCTGACTGGGCCTGCTCCTCAGTTCTGACACGATTTTACACGACTCATAAACCTGCAGCCACGCTGCGACGTGCCAAAGCCAGTCGCTGATGCCGTCGGACATCTGGAAACACCATCAGCACTAGTGTCCCTCTGCCACAGCATTAATCTCACCAATTTTCTGGAACTCAGGGAGGAAACGTACACCCTACCAGGCAGGTCTCCAGGGCTTTAACCTCTCTCCTTCTCTGGCATCTTGGTATCCTAACCCAGCCCCTCACCCTGACCTGTCACTAACGCCTGGCCCAGATGAAGAGCCTCGTTCCAAAGTGAGATCTCTACCATTTGGAAAAAAGAAACAGAGATATGGCGACACCTGCTCTGACCAAATGACATATAGCACAGGAGGAAAATAAATCCTGGTGATGGGATGTTTTGGGAGGAACGTGGGGTAAAACGAGAACGCTGTTACAGAGTGAAACATCTCCATCCCACAGATACAGTTCAGATCGTAAATTTAGTTTCAAACTGGGTCCACAAATCAACTCACCATACCGGATCATGTAAACAGCCCAGGGCCCGTGAGGATTCAGCCCCCACTGCCACCCCTGCTGAAGTGGCAACAACTGCTCCTGACCCCGACTCAGACTCACTCTATATCTCTGCTGTGATATACTTGTACTTATTTGTATCTCTACTTCAGAGGGAAATATTGTACCTTTTAGTTTATGATTTTAGCCTAGCTTCCTCCTCCCTCAGCGTGGCAACATGGCCTCAGCCTTGTCCTGCAGCTTCAGCGCCTCCTGAGTGTACATGCACATACTGTAACACTGGAGCAGTTTTCTCTACACCTTCATCCTCCTGAAGATACACACCTCTGTAGTGTTAGAGTGACTCAAAGAGTCAAAGGTCTGAGGAAGAAACTTGGTGCTTTTGCTTTTTTAAAATGTATTTGAGTGTAAGCACAGCTACGTATTAGTCAGACTTTACACTGTACAGGTCAAAGGTCAGTACAAAGGGGCACTAGGGCAGTGATACTTGTGTGTCCAAATTCAGCTTTTGTATTCTTTTACATCCACATTTCATGATGTAATATGTCCAAAGCACTCTTGTTCCAAATACGCTTTGGACCGAGACAGTCCACATCTCTACTGCAGGTCCCAGGGTGCATTAGTACAGTTGCATCGTGGGTCATGTAGGCATCAGGCTTTAACCAGGAAAAATAATTTGTGGAATAAAAACATGATATCACTGGTTCTGCTGCATCGATTTTTACTCTTTAGTTAGTAAATTAATTAATTTAAATAAATGCTGCACATTTACATAAAGATAGTCTTGTTTGTACAAATACATGTGCACCTCACTGCTGCTGACTGGGCCTGCTCCTCAGTCCTGACACGATTTTACTTGTAAACCTGTGGCCACGCTGCGACGTGCCAAAGCCAGTCGCTGATTCCGATGGCCATCTGGAAGCACCGTCAGCACCAGTGTCCCTCTGCCGCAGCATTAATCTCACCAATTTTCTGGAACTCAGGGAACAATATTTTAATATTTTTGGTTTCAGTTGATTTGATCTGGTAGACCCAAATTTTAGACCCATCATATCCACAGTAGGAAACAAGAAACATTGCTAAAGGAAGTAATTATAAATAATTACCATAAAACACAATATGTTTTTGAGAATTAAAAACAAAAATGTGACATGAATTCATGTTTATTTGAATGTTTGTTTGTAAGAAATTACAGCAAAGAGATAAACACATAATAACAAGAGAGGAGTCTCACACACACACACACACACACACACACACACAAACAAACACAAAAAACACTTAATAAACCTGAAATATGCAGACTGACAGGAGAGGTGTCAGCCTTCACACCTGCTGCCTGTTGTAAACCACCAACACGACAAGGCCTGCACAGTCCCACAGTGGTGGCAGATTACTTCACACACACAGAAACACAGACACACACACCTATACACACACTCTCTCTGAGCTGGATTAGTTTGGAGACACAGATTTGACTGCTCTTCACACAGTTGTGTGGTTTGTTATGAGTTCCACTCCACTCTACAGACATTGTATAGTGTGATAGGACAAACTGAACTTTTATTTTGGTGGTTTGGTTTGGAGCATTATGAAAAGCATGAACATATAAAACCAGACCTTCTGTAGTGGTCAGTTTAACTCAGCGTGCAAAGCCAGTGTCTTGTCACTTCCCCTTGTTTTTGTACTTTTAAGAAGTAGACTTCGAAAACTCACAACAGCACAAGTTTTTCAGCCTGTTGTGGTTCTGCAGTGGTTTTTTCTGCCCATTCTTTTTGAAATATTTAATCTTGTATGAAAAGTGTTGGGTTCTCAGCGCTCAGCAGCTTCTTTCAGCAGAAGAGAAGATCAAGCTGGCGTTTGTTCAGAGGATCCCAGTGGACTCCGGCCGCCCAGGAACGCCTCCTCTCATTTTGAATTCCTGTCTCTCATCACATGACCTGCCTTTATGAATACACCGCTGCTCTGGGCTCATGTCATGCCCCATGACTCGATGCTTCAGACAAAACAGCTGGTCCGCTGAACAGAACGAAAGCAGCTCGTCTGGCTCGTCCACGCTGCTCAGAGTCTGATTACTGTCCTGATGTCATGAAGACAGTTAGTCATCTTCAGTATATTCACATTTTCACCCTGAAAAGTCATCAGTTACATGTTCATCTTATTTTCATTCAATATTACATCATGACTGAACAATAAACCTCAGTGCAACACCTGTAAATATACCTCGTACAGATTATACAGATTCGTACAGGTCTCTAGTTTTAAGTACTCTGTTTTTATTCCTATTTATCTCATTTCAATGAGCATTCCTTTGTCTGTCTGCATTGTTTACTGCCTGTTAATACTGCTTATTTTGTTATATTACACAGCCTCATGTTGATTTATTGTCTACTTGCCCCTTGCATGGGGATATGTACATGCACATTGAGAGCCGATGTACCAGAGTCAAATTCCTTGTGTGTCCGACACACCTGACCAATAAAGCTGATTCTGATTCTGATTCTGATCATAGGATCGAAGTACCGAAGAATTTTAGGCATTTCACTGCTGTTTGGAGGTTAAGAATTTTATAAAGGTGTAAAGGTGTGTGTCTAGGTACACACGTGTGTGTGTAGTGTTACTGACACAAGAAACCAGAGAAATAAACTGAACAGCTGGGCTTTATCCCTGGCTCCACATGTTGGACTTTCTTTGGGTAAAATAGTGAATGCCAAATTGCTTCTGATGGTCTGGTGAGTGATAGGCAGGTTGTAAATGCTTTGAATAAACGAGCGTATGGTGCAGTCCATTTAAAATGGTGACGGGAAATGACGTAGTGTCCCTCATCCTGTGCAAAAGTTGAGTGCAGCAACACCAGTCCTAACGCAACCCAGGAGTCATTCCAGTTCGACATGACGAAGGACGTCCCAAAGCTCTTGCCCCAGAAGTCGTTCCAGTCATGACGAAGGACGTCCCAAAGCTCTTGTGCTCTGAGGAGCGAGGAGGCTGCTGGAGGAGCTGTAGCTGCAGATACACAAGTGCATCCTTCATAGAAGTCCATTATGAACTGACACAAAGGATCAGAGGAAAAAGCATCTCCTGCCAGTTAAAATATGTTTCCTCAGTTTGTCTCTTCTCACAGTTTATCCCTGCATCTTACAGGGGCAGGACTAAGGCACAAGGAAAAGACATGTGAGGGAAATGTGGATGCAAGTAGAATTGGCGTTCACCTTATGATGGAGAGGCCCAACCTGGGGCTATGTAAATCATAGCTAACTGCTGGTGGTGCTGTGCTTGACATTTTCCTGTCGCTATCTTTGTTTATGTGGAAAAGAAATGGCCACATCCAAAAAACAGTACAGATTTGGGTGAGTGTTACCAAAATGATGTCTGGTTTTAGAAGCAGTTGCATGTGTGAATTTCTGGGGTTGTCAGAAGAGATAGCTCTGAGACATGACTCTACATACTACATGAGCGGCCCAAGCAGGAGCCAGATCACAGCTGTCAAACAAATCTCTAGCGCCAAGCAAACAGTTGTCTGTTGAGAACCCTGTGGATCGCCATCGGATACAAACTCAGCTCACAACTCGCCTCATTACTGCCCTTAATGAAGGGAGGACCGAGGCGGGGTAGATACGACTGACCAGAGCATGGGACACCTGAGCCTTTAACGGTGCCACGTGTCACTGTCAGTACCTGACACCAGAATTTGCTTCTCTACGGGAGCCGCATCCCCATCACAGCACGAGCACTGCGTCAAACAAAGCTTTTGAAGGATGTTGCTGCCCTCTGAAATCCTCCAGTGCCCGGTGAGACCCCCCAGATGCTTCCTTTGCCAGACACTGTGATTACCCAGAAATCCTCTGGAATGCCCCCGTCCTCATTAAAGAGACAAATATAGCTCAGTGTGGGTCAGTGAGGGACGGAGGGTAAATGGATGCCGCAGTGCTATGTGGCAGAAATTAAACAATGATGAATAATGATACTTAGAGGAGGGGGAGGTTAAAAACAGGACTATTTCTAGTGATGGCAGAATTTCATTCTTTACACAGGAGAGACATTTGGTGTCTGGGGAAAACCAGGCCTCCGTCGTCGATCACATCTCTGACTGTAAGAATCAAACAGAGTGGAGCCAAACTGACTGTACGTTGTACATGAACTATTTCAAAAATAAATGATCCAGTCATCTCTGCTGAGATCTCACCCCTCTCACCACTAGGGCTGTAAAGATTCTCCAAATCCACTGTCCCATTCACTCCTCGGTTTTTAGGCCCCCGAGCCAGTCACAGCCGCAGCCAGAGACGTTTTGTTCTCAGGTTGTACATCCCTATTCCGGTGAACGCGATATATCAGGAATGTGTTGCCCACATGTTTTCTGCTCAGGGCAAATATGAATAGCAGAGTGAGGAGTGTTGGTGCTCCGGTGCGACCCATGGATGTCGACCCAACAGCTGTGACACTGATGATGCTCAGGCAGGTTCTGCAGTTATAAAGGGCATCTTTTTCTTATGAATTGTAAACAGATTAATGGTGATTTATTTGCTGTGCACACTGGGGGCAGTTTCACTCCCAGTGAATCCATACAGGTCTTCAT